ACAGTTCTATAACTTTTAACATTCACATTAAAATAATAACAATCCAATAATAACAGCACTCTGCTGTAAATGTAAGTCTGATTATTTGTGTTATAGCAGAGTTTGCCTGTATTTATAGATCATTGCATTTTTAACTGTTTGTATTTGCTGCAGGAGTTCAAAGTGCATGTCAACGGTGTTGAACTGCGTAACTGGAATATTACAAAGGGTCAAATGTACTACAAGGACATTAGCAGCTGCAGATATTCAGGTGAGCAGAGCCAGCGGGTCTAAAGGGTCACTTTACCCAAAATACAGAAACACATAAAAATAAAAACTTTAGATATTTCTGCTTTAATGAAATGCATTTTAACCATAATTCATTTTGATTTTAATTCATTTAAATTTTATTTCATTTTAATTTAATTCAGTTTCATTTAATTTTACATTCAATTTAAATTCTTACATTTAAATTAAATAAAAATGTCATCAATATGTCAATATCATATTTTATCACCAGTATTGTTTTATTTTACTGTATTTTAATTCAATTTACTTCAATTTATTTTTATTGTGCAAAAACAAAAAGTACAACAACAGTGACTGTACAGATACAACGATGGTAAACAGGAATAAAATACAGTAAACAAACAAAGAAAAAATACAACAGATGACGTGCAGAACAATAATCTACATTCCACATTTGACGTTGCTGTTATTTACCGTCTGATCAATAGTCAGTAATCTGTGTTTATTCCAGGTCTTGTCTATGAAACGGACACGGTGGCGTGCGACTCTGAGCACTCCTCCGTCGTAACCTGTAACGCGACGGCGGGTCTCAGCGTCAGCCCCTGTGGCTCCTTTATGCGTTGCCATGGAAACAGCCAGTAAATATGTTTTTTTATATGTATACCCCATTGAATGTTTACACTGTAAAACCTGATGAGTTAGTTCAACTGTTTGAGGAAACTGATCGCCTTAAACCATTTAAATGAATTAACTCAAACAATTTAAGCATGAAAGATATTTAATTAGTGACACTGACTTAATTTTGTAATTTTATTTATACTGTGAAAACAAAATACAAAAAGTTATTAATCAGGAATGTTTCTGTAATTTATGAAACTAAGTTAGTTTCCCTGGTTGATTAAGCTCGTTCTGCTTAATCAAGAATCTTTTTACTTTTTTTTGTTAAATAAACTTATCTTGTTTTACAGTGAAATATATTTAATCTTTTTCCACTAAAGCAAATTATTACATTATCTGTCAAAACAGCTGACATACAATAAAAACAATTTAGTCTGGAATTATATCGCCTGTACTTGTTGCTTCAACAATACATACCCTACGAGATCAGGAAACTCTAAAATACCATTAAGAATATCTGAAAATACCTAAAACTGGACTTTCTGTCCCTGTTTGACAGATGACATGAGATAAAAACACTTAAACCTTGATTCTGACTTCATGGGACTTTAACTCAGTTATTCAGTCTTGTTATTTTAAGAAACATTGCCAGTAGGGCCACTTACAGTATCTCCTCTGCTGTATTGTTGATGCTATAACTCAACATCAAGACTTCCATCATTGTTGCACTGTTAAAAAACAGACAGCATCAAAGTTCTGTTAAAAAAGTGTTTTGCTAAATATCTAATGATGCTACCTGCCCTCCCCTGTCAGGTGTGTGTTGAACCCCACCTGCACTGTGACTGGACCCGCTGTCATCGATTTCAGCGGCAATGTCACCTTTATCCAGAATCGCTGTGCGTACACTCTGATGTCACTTCCGGGCCTTAAGCTGCTTGCCACCTTCCAGGAACGCCGTCGTAAAGACGTTAGTTTTTTGGACAGTGTGATCCTGCGTCTGGATGGGCCGTCCTTGGACATTGAACTGGGACAAAGCGGGAAAGTACAAGTAAGCTACCTACACCTACAGAGAGCGATGAGACTGTTTAAAGGCTCTGTCACACCAGCAACAAAAAAGAAAATTCTCAGTGAATTCAATCCAACAGGAAACGTTGAAATACGTCAACTACTCTAGTATGCTGATGATACTCAACTATACATTTCAGTCGGACTTGACAACCCTTAGACTTTACAACCTCATTATCAGCTATGGAGAGTTATTTAAAGTTCCATGTGTGTAGGATTTAGTACCATCACTCAGATTACAATTCCCTCACTTCACCCTACCCTTCCAAGTGCAAAGGAGAAACTACAGTGGCCATGAAACATGCAAAAAGCACAAATGCCCCTATCTAGAGCTAGTGTTTAGTTTGTCCATTCTGGGTTATTGTAGATAAAAACGTTTCATTCTAAGGTAACAAAATACAATGATTCTTATTTTCT